TTTGAATCTGCCTGAAAATGCCTAAGGTTGTTTTAAAAGAGAGTGTTTACAAATCAATTTTAAAAGATTAGAAACTACCTTCCTCACTCCCACCTTGGTAAAGTGCCTAAAAAGCTTCCAGGGATATCTTATTAGATTGATTCTCTATGGAATAGAGAACAAGGTCCCCATCTAGACCCACTGAAATCCATAAGAATTTTGCCACTAACTGCAATGGGAGTGGTTCTGATGTCAGATTTATAATTCACAAGCTAAATAAATATGGTAGGGAAACATGGCAGTTTTTTATAGAAATGTCAAAGATTTGGAGGCACATCTCTCACCCCACATCTCAAGTGTCTTTCATCTAGACTTTCTCTGTAACATAAGCCAAGTGACAGAGTGAGTTATTTCTTGTTATATTACAAAGCATTTTATTGTGGAAGAAACATGCATTTTGGATAGACAGGGTATTCCAGAAGAAGGTAAAGAATTTTCAAAGGATTTATACTGCAGGTGAGCAAGCAAAGAATCCCATGTCCTCTTTACAGACATAACCTGAAATAGGGAGCCTGACACCTAAGCACCCCTTCACAGCCAAGGGTCACTCTGCAGCACCCTGCCTCTGATTTCCCCCTCTTCACTGGGCACCAAAGTTCCACCTAATTTTTCCCTTTTACCAGGGCCAAAGTACCTCAGCTTTCCACCATAGGTGAAATGGCAGGGCTCCTCCACAGCTTAACAAGGACTCTCTGACACACCCATTCTCCTTTAAGTGAGTTTATTTGTCCAAACATAAGCGTGTAACAGACCACCCACCCAAAGAACCCCAAAACCCACAGTTCCTCAGCTCTCCCTTTGTCCTAGGATTTCATGGCCTATCCTGCCAGTGGGGTCTCAGGTAATCCTGCCACTTGCAGCACCCCAGTCCTTGCCAGCTCTGCTCTCAGCCAATTCTGTTTCCCTTCTGGAACACTGGCCCCCAGGGCAACCTCCATAGGCACCTGGTAGTTCCAGGAAGCTACCACAGGAGTTAGGCCTATTCCTCTGTGGTTTCTCTCCCCAGGCACAGTCTGCCACAATCACTCCTCCTCATTCCACCCTCTTACAGGCCTTTTTCGCTACAGGTACAGCCCTCCCCACCTTTAATTGGTTCAGTTGGGCCTAATAAATACTGACAACAGGGAGCTGGGCCCAGTCTACTCACAGGATCCAGCTACCCTGTGACCTATTACTCATGAAGAAGTTGACTTAATACAGACCAATGAAAAATGGTCATAACTGAGCGACAAACTATGTAAAGAAACACTGCCAGCACAGCTAGCTCCCAGGAACAGCAGTGCTGCCTGCAAGCAAATGCAACCAGTAAAATCATTCAGGAAGGAAGGAAAAAGGCCAAGCTGAAAATTCTGCCATATTACTAACTCATTCTTGTTCATGTTCCTCACTGAGGATTATATATTGCCCTCTGGCTGATAAGTGAAACCACAGAAATAGGCTTAAGAGATGAATGGATCCAGCTGGATCCTAGAACTCCAAGGAAAATGCTCAAATGTCAGAAGCACTGCAGCAATGGCCTGGGGAATTATCATTTTTGCCCAGGACAACGGGATGATCCTCACGCACTCCTTTCTCCTGCACTGTCCTAAGTCACCAGGGTTTACAAACAGCCTACATCAGAGAGGGAGGCTAGATAGCAATCCAGCTGACTGTGGCATAGGAGATTTTTACCTGCCTCCTTGTTTCTGAGACTAAAGGTTTCATTTTCAGAGGTGATGAGAACTCACAGTTCCCTCTGACTTTATTTGGAATTGCAGGTGCTTAGCACCTCTAAGAATCTGCCTCTGCAACTCAGAACTGGAACAGCTCCAAATGGTGAGATATTTGGTGATGGTACTGGACTGCTTTCAATCAGGCAACCTTCTTCAGTGTAGCTCTAGTTTTTCTGGTCCTCTGAATCGAGTGTCTGAGGAAGAAGGTACAAGTGTGTAGTTTCTGCCAGTTGAGTGCCACCCAGTTTTGCAGACAGAGATTCTGGATGAGGTTTGCTGATCACATGCACAGTCCTTTGTCCCTTTTGATTTGTGGAAGCCAGTGGGGAGTGCTTAGACTCACTATGGCAAGGACCAATAATGCAGGAAAAGTGTTTGTAGGCCCTAGAAGCTATACTATACCACTTCTCAGGTGGTCCCATAAACTTCGGCAAAAATAAAGTTTGATTTTAAAATGATGTTTTAGCCCCTAACATTTTGAAGATGTTGAGGTAAGGGAATCGTTTTATTTTCAGTGTAATATTTATCACTTATTGTTTTAATTACACATCTACACCTGGATTGGATGGGGTGGTAATGTATCTGTAGAATAGTAATATGTATCCACTCACCACTTCATCTATACCTGAAATTAAGAACATATCACCCCTTTCTAAGAAATCTTCACCAGCTTCTTTAGTTTTATGAATGTGGCAACCATTATTCCAACTGATGGAAGAGTAGGCTGAACAGCAGGACCAATCACTGTGGAGAGATATGAAATGGGGAACTGAAAAGTTAAATGGAGAGAATAGGAAGGAATAAGGGTATTTGAGATCAAATCTGTGGAAAATATTTAAAGCTAGAAGGGAGATTTGGAACCCGATTCTCAAACAGGCAAGAAGTAGTGATTCTTTGGGGAATAAAAGAAAGCAGCAGCAATACTAAAAGTCACACTACTGCTTGGATATGAAAGTGTTATTTTGCAATAATAGGGCAGACACTTTCCTGCTACAGCTATGCAATCCTGAAGGAAACTAGATAGTACAATTCATGGATATTTAGAAATACTGTTATGAAATACAAAAATGAATGTTACAAGGGGAAAAAATACAAAAGTAGGCTACAGAGGTTAAACAAAGCATTTTACCAATATACATAGCTCCATGGATTTACATGCATGCAATCAGATTAAACACTGTTTCTATGAAAGGATGCATCTAAATTTTTGCTATATACATCCCTATAGTTAGGTTATACATTACAATTCATTACAGTGTGCATGTAAAAGTATCAGGTGTGCAAGAAACTCAGAGAATGACATTGCAATGCTTCAGGACACAGATTCTTAAACTGTGGTCCATGACAAAATAAGCCACTGTGCAACCTTTTCTCTCTGATGGAGACCTTGCCACTATTATCCAGGCTCAAAATAGACTGCCATAATGTACTGTACAGATGGATACAACTCAGGATGATTCAAAAGCTGAATAAGCAGGCTGCAGCATTCTGCACTAAGTGATGTTACACATTGGCAGTACTTCAGATCTGTGTTCTGGGGGATGCCGTGGCTTCTAACAAGCTTCTGGAAGGAATTCAAAGTGCTGACTTTAACTTATCAAGCTCTCATTGATTTAGGACCTAACTGCTCTCCCCCTGTGACAGAGGGTTGCAGCTGAGATCAGCAGGGGCACTGGAGCTCCCTCAATACAAATGACAGAGAGCTGCTGGCAGGGTCTTCTCTAGGATGGGTCTTCTGAATTGAAACTCACTTCCCCCACCCGCTCAAGCTGTCAGAACTCACATTTTTTAGCCTTCCCTGGAGGCTGCAACGGCCATCTTTTTTTTTTCCCCTTCTCTTGTGTAAGGCTGATGAGAAGAGAGTGAGCCAAGATGAACATATTTACGGGAAGTCCTTTGCTTATTTAGTAATTTTAGTGTATGAGATAGGTGCCCAGAACACAAGATGAGCACCTGTAAGTATTAGAAATTTGAGACATATTAATCTTATGAGCTGTATGTGATGACCATGATTGGACTCACAGTACAGTTCACTGGAGATCAAAACAAATGGATCCATCATCGAGAGATTGCAAAAGGGTAGAGTAGGACAGAAATATTTCCTCCCCCTTTTCTCATCAGGTTGGACAAAAATCAATTATTTAAAAAAAATCAGATTTTTAAAATTTAAACATATTTTTCTTTTTAAAAATAAACTCATTTAAAATTTAATTTGAAATTATGATATCTGTTAAAGGCCTAAACTTACTATAATCTATTAAAATCATTTAAATTAATTAAAAAAAAATTAAGCAGTATTTGTTTGCACTGGCTAATGACCTGGAACTAGCGTCTGTTGCAGTGCTAACAGCTTTTGGCAGCCTTTTTCAGATAGAGATAGAATATTTTATTCATTTAAGTTTATTCAGCTACTTCAAATCAATGACTATAGTTCATTCAAAGTTAAGAAGCTGACTGGGATTTGAAAAAAGGAGGAAAGTTTGTTTTCCTCTTCCAATCTAAGAATGAAAACTAGGTGTGATGATGAGATCTAATTCTAAACTCCTGAAGGACATGGTGACCAGAAACAATTAGTTCAATTCATTAACAACAGATATTTCCTTTGTGTAATAAATCACTTGGTTTTAAATGCAAAACATGTTTTGAGAAATTTATTTTTTCTTATGTATCCAGCAGATCTACAGTAGCCTTATTTAACTCATTAAATAATAATTTTAAAATGCTTTTGGGTGCATTTTTAATTGAATTAAAATTTCTATCCAAACAGACCTTGAAACAAGTCACAAGCAAAAAAATTAATCATTTAGTAAATAAGAAATGTATTTGCTTAAATAAATCCCCCTGGTTAGTAAGAAAAATACCAAATTCAGTGTTAAAGGCTATACATAGTTGCAAATTGATGACATGTTTTAATGATTACCAACCAAAGAGAATCAACCTCTCTTTAATAACTAAAAAAAATAACTAAAAAGTACAAATGAAAAACAGGATTATAATTGATTATTTAAATCAGAGTCTGCTTGCTTATTTAAAATCAATCCACCAAGTTTCTCACCCTAAGGAAGTATTGTTCTAAATAGTTCTTCCCAATTAGCAATTCTTTAAGTTAAAAACGTAACCATCTAGGAGTGACAAAGAGGTAATTTTATTGAAAACTTTAGTTAATGGAAAGATTCTCTCGTATTTGGTTTTGGAGAAGGACTCACAGATAGATGCTCCTTAGTGAGATTATGTGCATTTCCCACATACCGTTCTGAAGTCCTCTTCAAACTTGTAAGCCCCGCCTCCCGTGGCACAAAGTGTAGTGTGCAGGCTGGAGAAGTTCTTTTCACTACCCATCTGTATGAACCTATGCATGGCACAAGTGGGAAAGCGGATGAAGTGCAAATTCCCTTTGCGTCCACACATGGTCAAGTTTTTCAGTTCAAGATGGACATCGCGAATGCCAGTTTTACCATAGGCTGTATTGGAAGTCAAGTATTTCCTAATGCTTTTCAGGTTTTCTACTTCCTCCTGTTCCTCTTCCGCTGTAATGTCTTTTGGTTCAAAGTAGACCAGTTTAACCAATGTTCCACCAATATCCATTCCGAACCACGGAAATGCTAGGAAAGGGGGGAAAAAAGAGTGGTGCTATAAATATCGCAGTTTAATCATATTACTTAGAGTATCTACAGAACTGAAATTCAAATTAGCAAAGTTTACAAGATCAGAGCCTGATCCTAAGGACTGCTGGACACTTGCACCTACCAATTACAGTTACTGGACATGATCAGAGCTCATTCATGAAACCTCAGAGTTAAAACAAAATTTCAGAGAAACTGAAAAACAAGCCTCTAGGCACTTCCTCAAACATATTTTTCTTCAGAGAAATATAATCAGATATTATTAATATATTACTGAAAACATCTATCTTACTTGGCACTAGAGATCACAACATCTTCAAACAGGATGCTTATTGAATTTCATCTACTTTGAATCCTAGCATTGCGAATTAAAATGGATTGGGGGGAAATGAAAAAGGAACAGGAGAGTGAAGTTGAGAGTCATGCACTGCCAGCATGACAGCTATATTCCCTTTCCTCTCCCCCTTGTCCTACTCTGCTCTTTATTTGGGAAACAAGCTCTCCGGAAATAGTGTCTGCCTTCCCATCTTTGACATCGATAAAAGTGCTGAAATTAAGATGCCTAGACTGGCCAGCTGCTTCAAATTTGCTAAGTAACTACATTGGCATGGCACATTTTCTTCTTGACAAAAGAGGAGAAAACACCAGCACTGTAGTTTTAACTCCAAGATCTCGAGACATCATCAGAAAGTAAAAGAATTAGTGATACTTTATTTTATTGCTTAAAAGCTCATGAGCCCATCCCTCAAACCAAACCCCAGTTTCTGGACATAGATTCTGTGTACTATTTGTTCCTCATGATCTGTATGCACTGAAAGTACTACTATTCAGACTGCAGCATATCTTCCCTTCACCTCCACCATGCACCATGGGCCAAGTGTAACAAAGGTTTCGCTTTATCAACAGTAGGAAAAACATTAAGCGTTACATATAGCAGGCAGCCAATTTGGCAGAGCAGCCTATTTGTGGATGAGAAAGTACTCCCACCTGTAAGTAGGGCCCTACCAAATCCATGGCCATGAAAAACACATCACGGACCGTGAAATCGGGTCTCCCCCTGTGAAATCTGGTCTTGTGTGCGCTTTTACCCTATACTATAGGGCAGTGGTTCCCAAATGGGGTTCCCGAAATGTTACAGGGAGTTCTCAGGAAAAAGTTCCCTAATGTGCTAGGGATCCCAGGCAGCACGGGGCCAGCAGCCCGGAGCCCCTTGACTTCCAAGAGCTAAGCAGATCAAAGCAAGCATATCTATCACACTGAGGAGATTTAAACTTCAAGACTCCTTATAAGAAATGAAAAGGTGGATATTTTCTGCTGTTTTTAAAATTAAATAGGCAGCTAGTATTGTTTTTAAAATTATTATGAAGAACAAGTTTAAGCTTTGTTGTAATGTGTATTGTTTTCCTGGACTGCTCAAGACCTGAATGCTTGTGTAGGAGGAACTCTTTGAGTTGTCTTCTTAAATACCTTCATGCTGTTTCACATCTGATACTCCTTGATGAAACATAGGAGCCTTGTCTTATAACAGGCTTATTCAAAGTGATACAAGCTACAAAAGTGAGATCTTGGAAGAGTGTTTTCATAATGTAATAAAAATACTGTAATGATAAATAATAATTAATAATAAATAGTGTGTAATAAGCATGTCCTAAAAACAAATTGTATATTTCCAAGATCACTGCTTTTATAATTTATACTCAGGTAAAGGAGAAAATCCCTGGAAATATTCATTTTTAGGAGGGAGTTCGCAAGACTTGACATTTTAGTGAAAGGGGTTCACAGGTTGTTAAAGTTTGGGAACCACTGCTATAGGGATTTCATGGGGGGCGACCAGCATTTCTCAAACTGGGGATCCTGACACCAAAGGGAGTTGCAGGGAGGGTCACAAGGTTATTTTAGGGGGGTTGCGGTATTGCCACTCTTACTTCTGTGCTGCCTTCAGAGCTGGGTGGCCAGACGCCCAGCTCTGAAGGCAGCAGCACAGAAGTAAGGGTGGCAATACCATACCACGCCATCCCTCTGCACTGCTGCTGATGGCACCTCTGCCTTCAGAACTGGGATCCTGGCCAACAGCCGCCGCTCTCCAGCTGCCCAACTCTGAAGGCAGTGCCGCCGCCAGCAGCAGTTCAGAAGCAAGGGTAGCAGTACCACAACACCTCCTACAATAAGTTTGCAACGTCCCGTCCCCGTCCCCCCCATAACTCCTTTTTGGGTTAGGATCCCTACAATTACAACACTGTGAAATTTCAGATTTAAATAGCTGCAATCATGAAATTTACAATTTTTAAAATCCTATGACCGTGAAATTGATCAAAATGGACCGTGAATTTGGTAGGACCCTAACTGTGAGGTAAGAAAATAACCTGATTAAGATGAAATTGAGACACCACTTGGAACAAAAATGTTGGATGTGATCTTAAAGCCACCTTGTTCTTGAAGAACTGAGCATACGGAGGATCTGCCATTAAGGCTTATATCTCACTGACTCTTCTTGCAGATGTTATAGCCACAAGAATGGTGCTCCTCTCCCAGCAGACAAGCTATGAGCATGTTGCTATTGGGTCAAAAAGCAGACCCATTAGCACCGCCAGCACCATATTAAGGTCTCACAAGAGGATCATTTCCTTCACTGGAGGAGAAAGGTGAATAATTCCTTTGAAAATCATTATAGGGAGTTTTAGAATACAGACTTTCCTTGGATGGGATGATGTAAAGCTGAGATCGCAGCCAAATGAACCTTCAGGGACCTAAGAGCAAGGACCAAAGATTTCAAATGCAACAAATAGTCCAAAATGTCCTGAATCCAAGTTGACGTGGGCCGAATTTGCTCGGATGTTGCCCAAATCAAAAATCATTTTCATGTTGTAGACAAATAGATGGATCTTGTAGCTGGTTTTCTACGACTAAGCAGAATTTCCCTAACCACTTCCGAGCATTGCCACTCCTCCCTGAATACGGGGAGAGATATGAGGGAAGGCATACATCAGGCTTTCTTCGCAATTAAGATGTAACACGTTGGAAAGGGACTCCAGGCTGACTTCTGCTCAGGAACAGAATTGATGACACTTTCTGTTGTCCTTTGTCACAAATAAGTTGATCGAAGAAGGGATGCCACCCCATTCTCAGAAAATGGACCTCAACACACTATGCGGAAGTGCCAAATTTTCATTGCTTTATGACCAAGCTGGCTGTACCGGGCTCCTCCCTGTTGTTCACATAACACATTGCTGTAGTACTATCCTGGAGTACATGCACTGCTGCTCCTTAAATATGGTCCTAGAAGGTGTTGTATATTGCCTGAAGTTCCAGCACACTGACATGACCACTTGCTTCCTGTTCCACCCACAAGCCCTGAATCATTAATTAACATTGATGCTCTCCTCCCAACCTATTGAGTAGACATCAGTAACTAATGTTCTTATTGGTAGAGGACAGACAAAGGGACCCTCCCCCCGCCCCCCCCAACATTCCTTACACTGCTCCATCCACCATTGCACACAGTCCAGTGTTTCTGGGGGCACTCATATAAGACTATCCAATGACTGGCAACTTGGATGATAGACTAACCTCAGCCATTGCTGATGGGTATGAAGATGCAGCCTCGCATGCTGTACTATGTAAACACATACAGCCATATGGCCTAGTAACCGTATGCCTTCACAGGAAGGATGCGATTGGAGGTCCAGACATAGGTGCTGAACTGCCTGGAATTGTTCACATGGGAGAAAGGCCCTTGAATTTATAGAGCCCCAATGAACTTGAATTTTTGGGTTGGGTTTAGAGTAGGGCTGTCGATTAAACACAGTTAACTCATGCGATTAACTCAAAAAAATTAATCACGATTAATTGCACTGTTAACCAATAGAATACCAATTGAAATTTATTAAATATTTTTGGATGTTTTCTACATTTTCAAATATATTGATTTAAATTACAACACAGAATACAAAGTGTACAGTGCTCACTTTATATTATTTTTATTACAAATATCTGCACTGTAAAAATGATAAAGAAATAGTATTTTTCAATTCACCTCATAGAAGTACTGAAGTGCATTCTCTTTAGCATGAAAGTGAAACTTACAAATGTAGATTTTTTTTGTTACATAACTGTACTCAAAAACAAAAGAGTTTTTTTTAACTGCGCGATTAATTTTTTTTTTTAAATCACGCAACAGCCCTAGGTTAGAGTTGATTTTTCTTTGTGCAGGATCATCCCCAGTTGATTGAAAAGGTCCAATGTGAATTGGACATGACTAAGGACTCACTTCCTGGATCTGCTTCTTACTAACCAATCATTCAAGAATGGGAAGACATGAAGGCCCCTCCTTCTGAGATAGGCCGCTACCCACCATCATGTATGTGGTAAAGACATGTTGGACTGAAGACAGGCCAAAAGGAAGAACTTTGTCTTGGTAGTGTTGGCTTGCGACAAGGAATCTCAGGAACTTCCTGAGATCTGGGAAGATTGACATGTGAAAATAAGCATCTTAGAGATTGAGAACAGCAAACTGGTTGTTGTGATTCAGTGCAGAAATAATAGCAGCCAGGGTAACCATGTGGGATCTCACATATTTGATGTACCTGGTGGGACTGCAGCAATCGAGAATAGGTCTTATTCCTTCCTTGGACTTGGAGATCAGGAAACACCTAGAGTAGCATCCCTTTCCACCATGCTGATGAGGAATCTCCTGTATAGCTCCCAGTGCACAGAGTCTGAATCTGCTGAAGAAGCAGTGACTCATAAGAAGGGTCCCTGAAAAGGTACGGGATGGAGGGGAAGACAAAAATGGAATGGAGTACCCCAATCCCAGACTGCTTAGGACCCATCTGTCAGTCATTATCGCTTCCCAAGCACTGCAGAAGTGAAAAAGCCTGTCCCCAAACTGAGATGATAAGGTTGAGATGTTCACAACTGGTCTGCTGCTCTCGATATGCAAGGCAAATAGGCTGCCTGGCTGACAGTGGAAGGGGGACATA